TGCTTTATATTTTTCTTCTTTACTTTAGTTTTTATTTGAAAATGATATGTTTTAAAGTAACTTTGGCTTTATTTGGTGAAGGAAATATAAAATTTGCCATATTTCTAAAGTTACATAGGTACCTATTTAATTTTCTCTAAATATAATTTGATGTAATTATTGCTTACTTGCATACTTTGTTTCAGATTTATTTTAATCAATTTAAGTTATTGTCATAAATTCTAATAATCGAATTAAATTACGGGTTTTGAGCTTACATTAAATTGTAATTAGATGAAACAAAATTGATTCTATGTATTTTGAGGTGATCTTTTCGAAAAAATGCAGAACAAAATGTAGCTGTTTTTTGAAAGTACCGAAATTTTGTAATTTGTGAATTTTTAAATTTTGCGCAGGCGCATGTCAGACATAAAACAATATTTTCAAAACGCAGTTTACGACATGTTTTCATGTTTTTTGAGAAATTTTGATCCGATGCACCGTTCTCGCGGTATGGACGATTGAAATTTATTTAGTATTTTGAGGCGGCGAAGGTCGAAAAATTGAATTTGTTAAATGTTCAAACACTAAATTCTTTATACCTTTGGTAAAAATTAATATATTTGAAAAAGCAAATATGGGTTTTGAACTTAAGGGATGTGACTATTGATTTTCAGAAGCGGGCAAGAGAAATCCCAAAATTGGGCATATGGCGGAAAGGCAAGGTGTACCGCGGGCCAAATTTGATTGTTTGCCTGTAGCGGCCAAACTGTTCAATTTTTTTTATTGCTACTTACAGAACTTACTCTTGAATATGAAGTCTTATACTTCTGTTAATTTCACCGAAATCGGATTATAATTGGCCAAGATATCAAAAAATTAAACAAATTTTTTCCCTAAAAAAACTAAATTTTTTTTCGAAAGTTTGAAGTGGCAAAAAAATGCCTAAAATGCACCCCAATAGCTTAAAACTTTTTTTTTGAGTACTTTATTGTGTCTAGAATACGATTAAATTACGGAAAGTTCTGCAAATATATTTTATCTACTTTTTTGACCACTGTTCATTGAGTGACGACCAAAAAAACACGGTTTTTGAGAAAAGTTGCTTAAAATTGACGATTTTCAGTTTTTTGGTCTGAAAATTAAGCAAATCCAAACTTCATGTCTTTTCAATGTGTATACAAAGTTTAAAGTGGGTATGTTTCTTCTAACTTATAGAATTCTCCCGACAAAAGTCCCATTACACGCGCTCCGCAGGATCCAAAATTTGTGTATACACTGCATTTCTGTAATTTGATTTTTTTGTGTTTTCCAGTTTTAAATTTCTTACATACCTAAATTTATTAGGCCTAAAATTTATTAAATTGTATTTTACTGACTTATTATAAGACGTTTCTTAAGTTTTGTGCAAAAAAATAGAATTACCGCAAAATTAGCCGCACGTCGTATCAAGGATAGCCATGGTCTCGGTGTTCGCTATCCGACAAGTTTAAACTTCAAACGGTCATATTATAACAAATTGAATCGCTTGATAGTGTTCATCGGCATAGATTTTTAATAATCGTGGTCAGCCAGCTCCGTGTAAACGTGGTTTTTTCGGACTTCTTCAGCAATTTATTGAGTAAGTACGTTCCTAAATTAAGAAAATTTTATCACAGAGCTATATTTTTTTTTGTTTCCAGGTTGCAACGGCTAGCCTGTGTTTATTATGTCCCAAGACACTTGCAGAGGATGAACTTACCCCAATTAGACCGACAGGATTGAAAGGTCTGTAGAAGGTCAGCAAAGAGAGGGGGGATGATTTTTTCAGTTCTTTAGAACCAGGTTTTATATTGCATGAGAGGTGTCGCAAACATTACGTAGCTCGACGTTACGGAAAAGAGTTTATTTATAAAACCTGAGATAGGCATAAAAGAGCTGCGATTGACAATGCCAAAAAAAGGAGGATGGAGCATCAACCGAGAAGAAAACCAGATGTTATAGAACAAAAAACGAGCTTATCACCAAGTTGGAACTTACACTCAGGCTTAGGATTAATTTCTTAACATTTTTAAAGTATACCTTTTTGTGTATTTTTTTGTGCTCTTTCCGATGGCGCAGTTAGTTTTTTCAAATATATTTTTTGTTAGATGTTTTTGGAAAACCCGGGAAAACTATTAAAAAAAAAACTACGCTTTCCGGTTTCCTGCGAATACCCGAAAAATTATGGCAGATTTCGCCGCGGGGACTTATTTTATTTGAGAGCCAACAAAAAAATACGCAACTTCTCTCATGGGCACATATGTCTAACATTTATAATTTCGCCACAAATTTATCGCAAATTTCATGTTCATGGTTCTGATCAAAGAAACGAAAAAACTTTTTGGTAAAAGCACTTCTGGCGGCGAGACATTCGCCATTAAAACTACCTGTGCAATAAATTTCCAAACTGTTTTTGCCTTCCTATTTCGATTGGTGCATTTATTTTTACTATCAGAATGATACTTGCCCAGATAATTAGCATTTTTACCATGGAAAATTCCGGAAAACCCGGTTTTTCCTAATTTAAAAAAAATTGAAAAAAAAACTTTATCTTTTTTTTCTTTTTTTCGAAAAGATCACATCATAATACACAAGGTCTACTTTGTTTCATCCAATTACAAATTAATGTAAGCTCGAAGGGGCTTTTTTCGTTATTTAATTGGACTATAATTAATATTTTTTTCTAAATTCTATATTTTTATTCTATATTCATATTTAATAACTAATTAATTCATAATAGGACAGTTACCTTTATTTCAAATTCCAGTAATATAATAATTTTGTAACAAAATACTAAACAATTCTCAATTTTTATAAGATATTTCCTTTCATGTTTAACAATGTAAAAATTTGCTAATTTTGCTGATTTCACAAACTGTGGAAACTACAAATCAAATATCGTTAGTTGTATTAACTTGTTTAATATGCAAAATCAGCAAATATGTCTTGAAGGTAAATGTTCTAACAAACAGGAGGCAGTCAGGAAAGTCCTGAGCCCTGAGAAACATCTGAAAATCTCCGCTGATTTTTTACTTAAAATAAATAACTTAAAATAACATAAAAAAGAATTTGTGGACGTATCCTAAATAAAAAATGCGTTATGTATAAAAATTTTTATAATTATTTTTGTATATGTCTATTTAAAAATTAATTTCTGGATTAATAAAAGTGTTAGTTTTGATTAGTGATTTTATAATTATTTTTGTATATGTGTATTTAAAAAATTAATTTCTGTATTAATAAAAATGTTAGTTTTTATTATTGATTTTAATTTCTTTTTTCCAACAAGCAGAACAGTAGTTAAAGTGCTTTATTTCAGCCAGAGGTAAAGTGATTAGATTTGGGGCAGAGTCGGAACATCTGCGGGGGTACTTTACAAATGGTCGTGTTTATATTTTATGGAATATATTGTGACGATAGTCTAATTTATTTTTAGTTTATTTATTTAAATACACACTATTTACAATTTATTTTAGACGTACTATTTAATTTATATAATATTTAGACACTAACTAACAATTCTAATTTATTTCTTACACTTTAACTTTTCAATATAATGTTCTATATTAAACTAAACTCGGCGTTGATACGTCGGCTATTTATATTAGTCCAACTCCGCTACTGGAAAATGCTAGAGGCTTTCGAAGATTCCACTTTTATGACTAAACGGCACTCCCCGCCGATCCAGCTGTTTCTAGTACATCAGCGGCAAGCATTCCGTCGTATTCTTGTATATTCGAGACGCGGTCCAGCTGTTTCCACACGTCAGCGTTGCTTCGATCACGAGTCGGTTGCCATGTGAAGGTCGCGTGCGTACACAGGGTAGGATGAGGAATTTCATGACAATATTAGTTATTATTGTTTGAAGAAAAAAATTGTTCACATAAAACCTACCTTATTCTCTATAATTTTTATTTTATTCCAGAAATTTTACAAAATCTAAAAGTTGACATTTTTAAGACAATTTAAAAAAAAAAACTTGTTTGTTATTATTCTTGTTTGATACATAATTTCTCTAAAATGAACCGTATTCGAGATTTTTGTGAAAATGTGTAAATTTTGAATTTTGAAGAACACTCAAAAACGGATAAAGAAAAAACCTTAAATTTTAAACTTATGCTTTATTCTAACCTGAGGTGAACTGATTAGATTTTGGACAGAGTCAGAACATCTGGGGGATACATTATAGGGGTCATTTTTATATTTTATGAAATATATCTCTTATTTACGTTTGGAGAAGAAAATTTTTTAAATAAAAGTTACTTTTAATATTATTCTCTATAATTTTTGTTTTTTACAAAATTTTTCTAAAATGGTCCGTATTCGAAAAAATGTAAAAAATTCTGATTTTTAAGAAAATTGTTGAACTAAAAGATGTTTGCGATATCGATCTCTATAACTTTTGGTTTTTCATGATTTCTCTAAATTGAAGGTACAGTATAAAATTTAAATTTTTCAGCATTTTCGTTGGCAATAAGCGTATATAGAAAAATGTTTCGAGTTAGATATATGTGGAAAATGTATGTATTAAGTTAACCTCTAAATATTTACAGAGGTGCTACAGTAGGTTGTACAAAATAACCGAAAAATGCCTGTAATAACTAGATAGGAAAGTCATGAGTTAAAACTTCAGAAATAGTAAAATAATATATATCGAAAATAAAATAAATATTCTATAAATCCAGCCGTTTTTACAAGAAAAATTCATCTATAGATAAAAACTCGTCTCGACTAACTGGAAAAACCCTGGTCGCAATGCTACACATTTAATTCTTTAAAATAACAAAACTTAACATGATATATATGAAAATAGATCCTTTATTTATGTACATAGCGCATAGTATCCTGTAATTTAAACAGACAGTTTATTAATATAATCTTGATTTTTAATTTTAATAAATCGTTGCTGATTATCTAACTTAAGAAAAATCTTCCTAGAGATCGTCCATACTTTCCGTTGTATCCAACTTTTTTTGCAGCCTGATGCACCATATTTAATTGGTCCTTGGTCAGGTCTTCTTTTTTACAATCTTGGTGGATTTTAGAAATTTCTTGTTATTATATACTAAATTTTTGTAATAAATTGTAGAGAATATAACCATTATCGGTCTATTTTTAGTTGTTTTCTTTTTGCCTAGTCGGTAGCAGAACTCCACACTATGATCCTCCAGCTTAAGTTTAATTTGTTTATTGAAAATATCTGCCATCATTTTACTGACACTTTCATTTTCTGTAGATTCTGTAACACCGTATACTCTTATATTTCTACTTCTTCCAACACCTTCCTGCTTATTTTGTTGTTTAACTAAATTTTTAATAATATCTTCCTGCTTCTGCAGCTTTTCATTGATTGCATGATTCTTCTGTATTAGTTAAATAAAATTGTTTATTATACTTTCCTTCGATTACATTAGTAATTGCTTGGGTTACTTGACTAATGAAATCATCATAAGTACATAATTTAATCACAAGATTTGTAACAATTGAATGCAATTCGTCTTCACCCTTCATTTGATTTCTCGTTAAAGGCATTATAAAAAAATAAATTAAAACTTACTGCAGTTCGGCCTTATGAAATGACTTGCAATTTTGGACAAATGAAGTTTGGTACTATCACAACTATTACACAAAAAATAAGAATTTTATTTTACGTTTATTAACAGGTTTTTAATAATTTAATCACAGCACTGCGAAAGACGGTTAGCCTTTACGAGACATCGACCTTTTTCTTCTTATATTCCTTATATCTTACAAACGTGAAAATTTATTATTAGAGACTCTTTTAAAAATGAAGAAAAGTTTACCTACGAAAAATTTGAGTCAGTGATTTCTTTGAACATAAAATAATACAATTGTACCGTTTGCTGATAATTTAGCAAAGAGAAGAAATTTATAATCCCTGAAAACTAACTTCTTTTATATGGATTATTTGTCACCAATTTTTAAATAAAAACAAAATTACATATCGTAACAAAGTCTCTATTCAATTTATAATAAATTACATTTCCAATGAGATATAACATAAAACCTGTTTTAATTCAAAAAAATCCTTGATTACGTCTACTCTTTTATAGGTACGCTAATGAATGTGCATTTAAAAATATAAATTAACCTGGTTTTTATAATTTTTAAAATAACGAATAAAATTTGTTCCATTCATTTATACCCTGAATGATTGATGTTTCCTAAATATACATATGAGTATAATAAATTAATATTAATTTATTACTCTATTTGCTGCGTTGCTTTATTTTTAACAAAATTCAATATTAATTGAAATATTTAATTTTATAAAACATATACAGTAAAATAACTATTAATTGCAACTAAATTAAATGCTTTATCAATCCAATTGTATTTATACTAAAATAACCTTTTGAAATAAACAAAATTTGAATTGACAAAATAAATATTGTAGAAATATAAATGTAATGTCAATATTTGCATTAAACATTTATCGAGTAAAACTTGCATATTTATTGTATTATTTTTAAATGATTCCTACTTTAACTGAATGCATTTTTAGGGTTGTTTACCATTTTTTATTCAAATAAAATTTTAATAAGACGGGCGACTACGAACTGCCCCACGATACCTAGATTTTATTGGGTTCAGTTTTAAAGTAAGATTAAAAGCGACTACGAACTAGAAATTATTAGATAATGAAACTATCAGAATAATCGAATAAAGTTTATTTATAAATCAACATTAACTTATATACAATAACAATAACTATACTACAATAACTACTTAAACAATAACAATGCCTAATTCTAATGTCTGATTAGTGATTAAAATAAGTAAGTATGAATACAGTGAACATTATATTTTTGTTTATTAAAAGTTAGCTGCATAATAATTGCATACTGACTTAATGTAGTCTAATTTAGTAATGTTTCATTAAATAATTATCATATTTTCAATAAAATCAACTTTTCTTTTTGCCGTTTTATCAAGTTTCTTTTCTAATCTATGCGCAGTTCTAACTTTCACAATACATGTACTTCTGCTTGAAAATTTAACAAAATGTCTGTAAATTTAAATATGGCAGGATGTGATTTATTAAAACAATCCTTAAATTTCGAAAAAAATGATTCAGATGCGTTTGTAGTAAATATAAGAGATGTAAGGTAGAAATGTTGAATCTTCCCTTAAATAATTATCAACTAGGCAATCACAAAATTGCAAAACTCTGTCATCTTCTGGCATAATATTAAAAAGTTATTCAGAAAAAAAGTCACCAACTTCATTCGGATCTAAATAAGGAATACCGAAAAACAATTTTAAATATTTTCCAATAACAGTTTGATATTTATATTCCGAGGACAAACCTAAATTTTTAATATTTCTAATCTAATTTCATGTTAAATAAAATTTGCAACAAAAAATTATAATGTCGGTCCACACTAACTTGGCTGAATTTTGAATTGCTATTTCAAAATCAGAAATATTTCGCTACGGCTTAAAAATTAAATTCAAATCTGTATATATTTATTAATAGTTTAAGAGACCGTGGGAGATCGACCTTCACCCATCTGATAACCAGATCAGGCATATTTTTTATGAAATTTTATTGATTTATTAACACGCCTATGGGAACTTGCCATTCGAAAAGTGTTTATTTTTATTTTTAATTAAATAAATTTTAATCAATATTTTTATAACGTACACTTAACGGATAGTTTTTAACATGGAGAATATGCCTCAGTAGGCTTTTTTATTTATTTCTGTTTATGGCTGCCTAGCAAGCAGATATGAATAGGTAAGTCAATATAGGTAACTACACCGCTATTTTAACCAATAAAAATTGATATCAGAAGAAAGATAATTTAATTACAAAAAATCGTATAGACTTGCCTGCAAAAAACTGTTCATGGAATACTCTTGTCATGCTTTAAAGTTTTAAAATCAGAGCAATTAAATATATGCGAGTGCTAATTTGTTGTTGAAAATAATTTTGGAGCCTCCGACAATAAAATTTATTTTGATTATAATTATTATATTACTATAAAATACCTATACTTATAGGTATATAAAATTCATAAAAAATCAAAAATTAAATAAATTATTAAATAAAAAAATACATATTTAAAAAAATATTTTTTTTATCTAAAAGGTAAATAAAAAAAATTATTATAACGGAAAAAATTATACAAAAATTTTAATCAATACATTTATGGTATCAAAGCGTTTATTGCAAAGCAAATGGAATACATTTTCCGTCATTTGCACGATTTCCTTTATCTTCAAAGGTGTTTGGTCCCCAACAAATTCAATTGGTTTTAAATAGTTATTTTCTAAAATAGAACCGCAGTTTTTAGGGCGCAATTTTATAGTCTGAATCGGTTGCATGAAGCCATATAAAATTGACGTAGGGGAAGGTTGCCTAAAATGGGATACGTGGGTAAAATGGGATAGTGCCACTCACAGATTAACTAAATATGGCAACATCGTGCCATGACGTCAGAATTGTGCGCGTCGCTAGGGTAAAGGCTGACGACAATGAGATAAATTTATTACAAAAACATCGGCTAATGAAGTGAATGGTTTTATTTTTTTTATGCCAGAATTGTAAATTTTTAATGTTATATCTTAAAACCTGAAAGCTAGCAGGAGTAATATATCAATCGTTTCCAGTGATCTTTGTGTAGAGTATGGTCTCGGTTTTCATTGTTCTTCTAGCATTTGCTTAAAAAGTGACAACAAAAAATTTGAGGTTAGTTTAAATACTTTAAATCAGGTGTGGGTAAAATGGGAAATTAGTATTGTGTGCAATAAAATGAAGTATCCTATTTTTTATTCTATTTTTTTTTAGATGCCACACGTTTACAAAAGAAAGACTGATCGGCAATCGTGGTCCGAAGAGTCAATGGCTAAAGCTTTAGAGGCCTTAGGAAACGGCACTCGTGGGTATTTAAAAGCTGCAAGTATGGAGTGCAAAAATCTACTTTAAAGAGGAGACTTAAGGAGAAAAACAAACATGCCATTGGTTCTTCTAAATCGCTTAAGAGTAGAAAGGTTACATTTTCAACTGAATTGGAACAACAGTTAGTCAAGTATGTTAAGAACATGGAAGGTATGCTATTTGAATTAATAAGAAGAGGTCTAAGAAACCTTGCTGTTCACTACTTTAATAACACAAAACAAATGGCTGGATGGCATTGGCTTCGTTCTTTTTTAAAACGACACAATCTGTCAATTCGATTACCTGAAGCTACCTCTGCTGCACGAGCTAGGGGTTTCAACAAAGAAGCAGTGTCATCATTTTTCAATATTCTTGAGCTTCTTCAAGAAAAAAATAACTTTCCTCAGGCCAGGGTCTTCAATATGGATGAAACAGGCATAACGACGGTTCAGGGTCGTCCTTCAAAAGTTATTGCACTTCGAGGTCAGAAACAAGTGGGTACCCTGACGTCTGCCGAACGTGGAAAGCTGTCTACAGCCGTAATTTGCATGAGTGCAAGTGGAATATTTGTCCCGCCTATGGTAATCATTCCTAGAGTTCGTATGAAGCCACAGTTTCTTGAGAGTGTTCTTCCAGGAACATTAACAGTTTCTCATAAATATGGTTGAATGAAATTGGATCTATTTGATAAATTGTTTAATCATTTTCTCTCTCACATACAAGCATCAAGAAGTAATCCAGCATTACTTATTCTCAATGGTCATAAAATACATACGCAAAATATTTCTATCATAGATAAAGCAAAAGAAAATGGTGTTACAATTTTATGTCTTCCACCACACTGTAGTCATCGACTCCAGCCTTTGGACGTGTCATTTATGGCCTCTCTAAGCACCTTTTATTTATAAGAAATGGAGATTTGGCTTAGAAATCACCCAGGGCGATGCATCACTGTAAGCGAAGTTCTTTTTTTATTTAGCAGAGCATATCTTCATGCTTTTACTCTGATAAATGCTATTAATGGATTTGAAAAAACTGTACTGTACCCAGTAAACCGCACTGTATTTACAGAGGATATGTTTATTGCAACACTTCCAACAGACAAACCACAAGAACAGGATGATGTTGTACCATCTTCTTCCGATTCCGAAGATGATCCACCCGAACATTACGCTGATTCGGAAGGTACACGGGAAATTGAAACTAATAGAGAAGCTACACCCGAAAATGACCCTAATAGAGAATCTCTACCTAAACAAATAATGGCTCTTCCAAAGAAATATTCCGAGGTTGCCAAAAGAAGTGCTTTACACGATATGCCATCCACGAGCAAAGGTATAAATTTAATAAGTCCTGAACAAATTGCTCCTAATCCCATAGTTCGTAAGCTGCCATTTTTAAGAGCACCCCTTATAAGGAAGAATTAGAAAACTCTTTAAAGGAAAGAAATAAAAAAGTTAAGAAGATAGCTTTAAAAACAAACATCAACTTACTGAATGAAGAAAAATCTAAAAAGCCTTTAATCAAAACGAAAAAATTACAAAAAAAGAGCATTATATCTTCAGAAAGCGATGATGATGCGAAATGCTTTTACTGCAACAACAGGTATTCAAAAGATGGACGTGGC